GGTCTGGGACGATTCCCAGTGGCTGCGAAACTTTCGCATACGTAAGGGCACTTTCATGGAACTTTGTGACTTGCTTTCCCCTGCCCTGAAGTGCATGAATACCAAGATGAGAGCAGCCCTCACAGTTGAGAAGCGAGTGGCAATAGCCCTGTGAAAGCTTGCAATGCCAGACAGCTACCAGTCAGTTGGGAAACAATTTGGAGTGGGCAAATCTACTCTGGGGGCTGCTGTGATGCAAGTAGCCCACGCAATCAAAGATCTGCTGATATTAAGGGTAATGACCCTGGGAAATGTGCAGGTCATAGTGGATGGCTTTGCTGCAATGGGATTCCCTAACTGTGGTGGGACCATAGACGGAACCCATATCCCTATCTTGGCACCGGAGCACCCAGCCGCCGAGTACATAAACCGCAAGGGGTACTTTTCAATAGTGCTGCAAGCACTGGTGGATCACAAGGGACGTTTCACCAACATCAACGTGGGATGGCCGGGAAAGGTACATGACGCTCGCATCTTCAGGAACTCTGGTCTGTTTCAAAAGCTGCAGGAAGGGACTTTATTCCCAGACCAGAAAATAACCGTTGGGGATGTTGAAATGCCTATGGTTATCCTTGGGGACCCAGCCTACCCCTTAATGCCATGGCTCACGAAGCCGTACATAGGCAGCCTGGACAGTAGTCAAGAGCTGTTCAACTACAGGCTGAGCAAGTGCAGAATGGTGGTAGAATGTGCATTTGGACGTTTAAAAGCACGCTGGCGCAGTTTACTGACTCGGTTAGACGTCAGCGAAACCAATATTCCCACTGTTATTACTGCTTGCTGTGCACTCTACAATATCTGTGAGATTAAGGGGGAGATGTTTATGGCAGGGTGGGAGGTTGAGGCAAATCACCTGCCAGCTGGTTATGCGCAGCCCAACACCAGGGCGGTTAGAAGAGCACAGGAGGGCGCGGTGCCCATCAGAGAAGCTTTGAAGACCAGTTTCATGACTGGCCAGGCTACGGTGTGAAAGTTCTGTTTGTTTCTCCTTGATGAAACCACCCGCCCCTTGGTTCACTCTACTTCCCTGTAAGCTAAGCACCCTCCCCTCCTCCCTTCGATCACCACTTGCAGAGGCAATAAAGTCATTGTTGCTTCACATTCATGCATTCTTTATTAATTCATCACACAAATAGGGGGATAACTGCCAAGGTAGCCTGGGAGGGGTGGTGGAGGAGAGAAGCACCAGGAGGGATGGTGGAGGAGGGAAGGACAAGGACACGCAGCACTTTAAAAGTTTAAAACTTTAAAACTTATTGAATGCCAGCCTTTTGTTGCTTGGGCAATCCTCTGGGGTGGAGTTGCTGGGTGGCCAGAGCCCCCCCCCCCCCCCCGACTGCGTTCTTGGGCGTCTGGGTGAGAAGGCTATGGAACTTGGGGAGGAGGGCGGTTGGTTACACAGGGGCTGTAGCGGTGGTCTGTGCTCCTGCTGCCTTTCCTGCAACTCAACCATATGCTGGAGCACATTAGTTTGATCATCCAGCAGCCTCAGCATTGAATCCTGCCTCCTCTCATCATGCTGCCGCCACCTTTCAGCTTCAGCCCTCTCTTCAGCCCTCCACTTACTCTCTTCAGCCCACCACCTCTCCTCCCGGTCATTTTGTGCTTTCCTGCACTCTGACATTGTCTGCGTCCACGCATTCATCTGTGCTCTGTCAGTGTGGGAGGACAGCATGAGCTCAGAGAAAATTTCATCACGAGTGTGTTTTTTTCACCTTCTAATCTTCACTAGCCTCTGGGAAGGAGAAGATCTTGTGATCCTTGAAACACATGCAGTTGGTGGAGGGAAAAAAAAGGGACAGTGGTATTTAAAAAGACACGTTTAATAGAACAATGGGTAACTCTTTCATGGTAAACCTTGCTGTTAACATTACATACACAGCACATGTGCTTTCGTTCCAAGGTTGCATTTTGCCTCCCCCCACCACGTGGCTAGCCCCTCACCACTCCCCATGGCTAACAGTGGGGAACATTTCTGTTCAGCCACAGGCAAACAGCCCAGCAGGAACGGGCATCTCCGAATGTCCCCTTAAGAAAAGCACCCTATTTCAACCAGGTGACCATGAATGATATCACTCTCCTGAGGATAACATGGAGAGATAAAGAACGGATGTTGTTTGAATGCCAGCAAACATACACTGCAATGCTTTGTTCTACAATGATTCCCGAGTACGTGCTACTGGCCTGGTGTGGTAAGGTGTCCTATCATGGTGGATGGAATAAGGCTTTGGGAGTACATCCAGGAGAGCCACAAATGCCAGGGCAAATTAATCATTAAACATGCTTGCTTTTAAACCATGTATAGTATTTTAAAAGGTACACTCACCAGAGGTCCCTTCTCCACCTGGCGGGTCCGGGAGGCAGCCTTGGGTGGGTTTGGGGGGTAGTGGCTCCAGGTCCAGGGTGATAAACAGTTCCTGGCTGTAGGGAAAACTGGTTTCTCCGCTTGCTTGCTGTGAGCTATCTACAACTTCATCATCATCATCTTCCTCGTCCCCAAAACCTGCTTCTGTGTTGCCTCCATCTCCATTGAAGGAGTCAAACAACACGGCTGGGGTAGTGGTGGCTGAACCCCCTAAAATGGCATGCAGCTCATCATAGACGTGGCATGTTTGGGGCTCTGACCCAGAGCGGCTGTTTGCCTCTCTGGTTTTCTGGTAGGCTTGCCTCAGCTCCTTAAGTTTCATGCAGCACTGCTTCGGGTCCCTATTATGGCCTCTCTCCTTCATGCCCTTGGAGATTTTGACAAATGTTTTGGCATTTCAAAAATTGGAACGGAGTTCTGATAGCACGGATTCCTCTCCCCACACAGCAATCAGATCCCGTACCTCCCGTTCGGTCCATGCTGGAGCTCTTTTGCGATTCTGGGACTCCATCATGGTCACCTCTGCTGATGAGCTCTGCATGGTCACCTCTGCTGATGAGCTCTGGCCAGTGTGGCAAGCTGCACGTGACCATGCAAACAGGAAACTGAAATTCAAAAGTTTGCGGGCCTTTTCCTGTCTACCTGGCCAGTGCATCTGAGTTGAGAGTGCTGTCCAGAGCGGTCACAATAGAGCACTCTGGGATAGCTCCCGGAGGCCAATACCCTCTAATTGCGTCCACAGTACCTCAAATTCGACCTGGCAAGGCCGATTTAAGCGCTAATCCCCTTGTCGGGGCTGGAGTAAGGAAATCGATTTTAAGAGCCCTTTAAGTCAAAAAAAGGGCTTCATCATGTGGACAGGTGCAGGGTTAAATCAATTTAAGGCTGCTAAATTCGACCTCAACTCCTAGTGTAGACCAGGGCTATGAGGCATAATACTGGGAGGAGAACCAGGAAGCCCATTTTCAGGAATTATAAAATGTATGAGACTGATGTGAAATACTTGTTTAGTAGGGTGATTCATAACAACTGAAAATTACATTAGGGTCCACTCTCCAAATAACAGGACTTACACAAATGGAAGACAAATATTTAGTGAAGTGATCCAGAAGATCTGGAACCTAAAATTACCTTGGACTTCAGCCTACAACAAGAAAATGTACCAGTGGCATAACAAAGAGATCTGAGTTCAAAGCAATGGTGTTGACCAAAGCGGCCATACATGTAATGGGTGATCTGCTGCAGACCTATGAGATTATCTGCGGAAATGGTAACTGTTAAATTATAAACAATATTTATGATGCGCCTGCATAGTCTAGTGGGTAGGTCATTGTATGGGGGGTCAGGAGACCTAGGTTCTATTCTCAGCTCTACCATTGACCTGATGTAACATTTAGCAAGTCATTTTACCTAGCTGTGTCTGTTTCCCTTCTGACTTTTTCAATGCCTTGTCCGTTTAAATGGAAGGTTCCTCTGGGCAGGGACCATCTCACTTGGATTTTTGTACAGCGTCTAGCACACTGGTGGACCTAGTCTCAGGTGGAGCCTCTAAGCTCTATCATAGTACAAATAACAATAATTAGAGCTGGCCAAAGAAATCCAAAAGTAGTTTTGTTGAACATTTAGGAATTTCAATCTTGTTTCATTTCAAACTGTTCAAAATGGAATTGTTTCTTGTTTTATGAAAAAAATGTGATTTTGAATAATATATTTGTTTCAAAAATCAATAAAGAAAATATCAAAGTGGTTTTCAACATTGGCTGACAACCATTTTGATAACCTTTTTGATAATGTTTTCAATGGAATCTTTTGCCAAATTAGATCTTCCAGGGTGGATTCAGTTTTTAGAATTTAAACTGGAACATTTCACATCCCACAAAAGCCCAACAGAGTTTAGATATGAAGTTCTTGGTTTGGGCCCATGTCTAATATTAATTCAGTATAACAACTATCACAAAAGCCCAATGTATCACCTCCTCCAGCCTCCATATCTATATCCATTGACCAGTATCCCTGTCAGTTCTGCAGAGATAAAATTGTTTTCACTTTGCAGAGTTCAAAATGTACCAGTTTGGGAGTGGAGGGGAAATTCTTCATTTTTTGAAATTTTATTAAAATGAAAACTTCTGATTTTCAAAAAAGACAGGGAATGGAAATAATATTTCAGCCATTTTTGAAAGGAAAGAGACAAGGAAAAAAAGTAAAGATGAAAAAAGAAAAAAAGGAAAATGAGAGGAATAAAAGGAAAAATACAGAAAGAGAGGGGGGAAGGAAGGAAAAAACAAAATGCAAAAAAGAAACACTGAAAGATGAAAACATTTAGGACAAAAAATAGAATACATATTCTGTTTTCAAATTGACAAAAATTTCAAACCCCCCCCAAAATTTAAAAAATTCAAATATTTTCATGAAAATTTTCTGTTGCATAAAAAGGCTATTTTAAGACCCCCTTCCCCCCCCCCCAAGAAATGTTAAAAATATTTGACTTGCTCTACAGTCAGTTTAACTGCTGAGATGGAAGGACCTACCACAGAAAGACTCTCTCTTCTTCTTCTTCTTTTTTTTAAAATTAAATAAAGGTAAGTATTATACTCACTTCCAAAATCTGTTGTCATATGTTCCTCAACTTCTTTGATCGTTTTGTTGGTTTCCAAAAAGATTATTTTTGAAGTACAGTTATAAGGGGTGTTGGCTGACAGACCCGTCAGCTCAATACAGTGGTTTGACATTGAAAACTGGTTTCGTTGACTGCTCAAATCTGCATTAAAATATGAAGACTTATTAACATTTTCACAGGACCAAATTCTCTGGTTACCACTTTATGTATTTTCATCTCACTTTGCTAATTTTAAAAAGGCAAGTAAACACACTAGTTACAGCACCTTCAAATTAATGCAGTTGCACCATATCCACTTCATTTTTTAGACTAAGAATGCCATTTTGCTCTTATAGCTTACACACATGCATCCTTACTTCCTCCACATTCTCTCTGAGGCCAAAAAGACGTGTTTGGTGCAATGAATTGTGATCAGACATGATTCAAAATACGCAATTATGCACCAACCTCTTCCTCAGTGAACACAGTCTAGACAATTGTGGATAGTATTTTAATTTAATTTTAAATACAGATATTTTCAAATATATCCAGGGAGATTTTTAGCTTTCAATATAAAAAGAATTCATGCCATTCCTTACACACAGTGATGCACAAACCTCAGAAGTCTGAAAGGTTCAATAAGGGTAAAAGCCAAAACATCTAGATGATTATCTGAGCTCTTTGAGATCAAGCTCATTATTCATGTCCTGTCCCTCTGCTTCTTTCCTCACAACTCAACAAGAGCATGTCTCTTTCTTTAAATTCTTCTGCTCTTAACACTGTTCTTCCCTTTCACCTCCATGTGCAATAAGCTCTTCGTCAGTTTCATAGCCTGCATGATCTACTTTCCCTACAGTATTTCAAAGTGGCCCTATCTGTAGAGCAGTTTACAAGGAAAGATCAAAGACCAGGTGAATGATTTCCAGAGGCATTAAGGACCGGTGCCTACCTCCAGCCTGCCTTCTCACTATGCTTAGTAATCCGTGGAGGGGATGGTTGTGGTTGTCTACTTCTTCCCTGTTGAATATCTTGGAGGGCAGGGAGAGGAATAGATTACCTGCGCTATGCCCATTATTACTATTTTGGGAAATGCCTGAGCAGGCCTCTCCATCTCCCTTGTTGCTGTAGTGGATCCCTCTTTCTGCAATATATTGAAGAACTTCTCTCTCTCTATCAGTTGGGCTACCTTCTCCCTATTGTTGCCATGAGGGATTCCCCACAGAATCCCTCTCAGCTGTCAGCAGTGGGCAGCAATCATCCCTCCCCTTACAAATTTTATTCTAAACGTGCATATTGTGAAGGCTCCTTTTATCTTCACTATCACTTTCTTACCAAATGATGAGTGGGAAAAATGTGAGGACAACAACCCTTTGAAAGAGGTGTACCTTCTCAATGCTCTTCATCAAACACACAATTGTATATATGTCATTTAAAAGAAAAGTATCTATCTATGTAAGAATAGATAAGAAACAGGTATGAATCAATATGAGAGACACAAGTTGGGTGAAGTAATATCTTTTACTGGACCAATTTTTGCTGGTGAAAAGGACAAGCTATCAAGCCTCACAGAGCTCTTCCTCGGGTCTGGGCAAGATAACCAGTCTCCAAGCCAGACACAAAGTGGAACAGATTGTTAAGCATAAAGGGTTCATAAATGTTGTAGAAAACCACTTAATATGAACAGAGAAATTAACACATCTGTAGTCGTATGACAATAGAGGATTAGTAGGCAGCAGGGTGTGTTGCAAATTGTTATATTAGGCCATGCAATTCATGTCTGTATTAAGCCCATGTTTTTTAGTGTCTAGCAGAATTATAAATTAAGTTTCCTAGCTCATCTTTTGAAGGCGTCGTACAGATGTCCTTTGAGGACAAGGACTAAGAGATCAGATATGGAGTGACTGCTTTGTGAAAAGTGTTCGCCCACAGGTGATAGGGTATTTTTGTCTTTTAATATTTCTCTGTGTGAGTTCATTCAAGAGCATAGTGATTGGTTTCACTCACATAGTTGGTGGTGGGTCATCTGATGCACTGGATGAGGTATACACATGTGATAGGCAAGAATAGGACCTGTGGATCTTGGAAAGGTGTGCTGTTGAAGGTGTTGATCATCATAGCATCTGCTGTTCTAGAAGAGTCTGGTGAGGTGGTGTACCCTGATATGTGGGGACCTTGCTTCTGATGATAAGCTTGGTGAGGTTAGGGAGTTATTTGAAGGCCTGAAGAGGGTGCTGGGAAAGATTTATTTCAGGATGTAGTCCCCATCAAGTATGGGTTGTAATTGTTTGATGAAACTCCATATTGCTTCTAGTGTGGGGTGGTAGGTGACAAGTAGAGGTGAGTGGTCAATGGAGGGGTTTTTTTTCCTGTATTGAAGCAGGTTCTCTAGAATATTTGTGTGGTCTGTTTCATGATGAAATCTACTTCTCTGGTGGAGTGTCCTTGTTTAGTGTAGGCGGTTTTAAGTGTGTTAAGGTACGTATCCTGAACTTTCTTTTCAGAGCACATTCTATGGTATCTGAGTGCTTGGCTGTAGATAACATATTTTTGGTGGTTGATGGCTCTGTGGAGATAAGTGTGGTGATCCATAGGCATTTTTGTATAAACTTGTCTGTAGGGTTCCATTGCTGAAGCTGATCATGGTGTCCAAGAAGTTGATGCTGGTGTGCATGAGTCTGATGGGTGGGTGGTGGTGGTTGTTGATGTTATGGTGGAAATATCAGAGGGAGTTTAGGTTGTCTGTCCAGAGGACGAAAATGTCATGGATGCATATCATTGGTTTCATGATGCATTTTTCTAGAAATTCTTCCTCAAGGTGGCCCATGAAGAGGTTGGCATATTGGGAGCCATTCTCATACCCATGGTTGTTCCCACAGTTTGGACAAAATTAAATGTGAAGTTGTGACAATGAAATGGATGAGTTTGGTTATGTGTTTGGGGTTGATTTCTGAGCATTGTCCCCATTATCTTGCAGATTTTTGGAGCAGGGAGTGATGCCATCGTGGTGAAGGTGTGACTTTGCACTCCATACGTTTTATGGAAATATGTTTTTAAGTGTGAATATGATGTAACTTGAATATGCTTCATGCAAAAGGTCTCTTGAAAGGTGTCATTAAAAAGCTTAGAATCTACTGAGTGTGTTCATCCTATTTGTATGAATGTATCATTCTTGTATCTGAAGCTAGAAATATGAAGTATTACTCTGAAGTCATATTGTAACTATGCAAAGTGTGGGCATTAATGGTAGCTTGGAATCTTGATGGCTCCCATTAACTAGGACAATTGGTTGAAAATGTCTCTGTTTACTTGTAAGCCTTCCTGTATATGTGGGTACCAGCCAGTAAGTAATGAAGTCTCACAGGATATATGAACATGTCACATGATACTGGAATCCATCTTAAAACTGGTGCTTTTCCATTTAGAAGGAAGGGTGGGAACTCAGAGAGAGACAAAGGATTCCTGCCTTGTGACAAAGATATAAAAGGGTGTGGAACAAAACAAAGGGGCTGCCAGTCATGAGAAATTCCCTAGTTGCCACCTGAGCTGGAACTAACAAGAACTGTACCTGGGAAAGGATTGGGCCCTGACTGGAAAGGCGTCTAGTCTGTGTGTAAGCAGTGTCAGGATGAGCTCCACCCTGACATCTGGTGGTGAGGTGTGGCAAGTTGTGGAAAAGAACTTCAGGGGCCGATCTCATTTGCATAGGCACACCCACCCTGCCTAGAATGAGGCCATAGCTGCCCAAATGGTCACTCTGACTGCTGTGGGATCCCCAGTGTCTCTGTTATTGGGGCAGGAAGAATAAATTGTTATTACCCTGATTATGGGAACTGTGCTTGGAACTGTACTTGGCCTTTTGTTATGATGAGGGACTCACCATCAACTACGTAGCACTTGCTAGGCAAGGGTCATGGGTTCCAAAACTCTGTGAATTGAGAGAGGTTGGGGACAAGTATTAATACTTGGTAGCATGGGCCCCTTGGTGAGGGCCTTACATGCTAATTGCACTTCCTTCTCTCTCCACTGTGGAATATCAGAGCTAATTTTGATTTCATTAGGAGTAGTTACAGGCTGCTGAGCTCACTTTGGGCTAATGGTGCACCAGCACTGAGGCTCCCCTACTACAAGCTGAATTCACCAAAGAGCTGAACTGACTAAGAACTGAAATCACTGAGCGTTGTGTTAAGCAGCGGGGGAGCCTGAAAATATATTGTGGAGCAGTTTGTGGGACGGCTGGAGTGCCTTGTGGACAGGCTGGTGGAGCAGTTCATAGGACGGCGGGAGCTGCTGGTGGGACGCGGAGCTGAGCGAAGCAGTTCGTGGGGCGGCTGGTGGAGCAGAGCGGAGCGAAGGCCTATGGAGCTGTGGGGCAGTCAGCTTAAGATCATGTAAGGTGCCTTTTACCCCCACCCCCATCTCCACCCAGGTTGGGAGGTAAAGCTCTGCAGATAAACTTTCAAACTCTGGGGCTGCCCTGACCAGGGACAGAGACTTTTGGGTCATGGGACTTTGGGTGATTTGGGGTTGCTGGACTCAAGAACCAAAGGGAAAGGGCATGCCCCAATTTGCTTGGGGTGGGTTTTTTGCTCATGGGTTGTGTTATGAATCCTGTTGGTGGTGGTTCCCCAACATAATGCCACATTGTTTCTCTCTGTTATTAAAAGGCTTTTTGCTACACTCAGACTAGGTGCTTGTGAGAGGGGAAGTATTGCCTCTTAGAGGCGCCCAGCGGGGGTGGTATATATTTGTCCCAGGTCACTGGCTGGGGGCTCGAGCCGGTTTGCATTGTGTTATTGGAATGGATCCCCTAGATATTCAACCCGGCCCTTGTTGCTGCCAACTCTGACGGGCAGAAGGGTTACATGTGAAAGAAGCTTATTGGAACATCTCTGAGAGTGAGATTTCCCTGAATTCAGTTTCTTAATGTTTTCGGCTTAGACTTGCATTTTTTGTTTTATTTTGCTTGGTAACTTACTTTGTTCTGTCTGTTATACTTGAAACCACTTAAATCCTACTTTTTATACTTAATAAAATCACTTTTGTTTATTAGTAAACCCAGAGTAAGTGATTAATACCTAGGAGAGTGTAACAGGGTTCACGACCCGCCCATCTCCTGGGGCTCACTTGCTGACTCCAATAAGGCTCAGAGAGGCTTCAGGGTT